TTCTGACTGTTATGGGGATTGAATTCATCTGTTACGGAATTAATATCCTATTAACTCCAATTTTGAATTCTAAATTCAATTCCCAGGTAATGGCTGCTATTATAGCTATTGGAAGTCAGCTTTAATGTCATTTTTTAATTGCCATAATAAAGGCTATTGACTCCTTCAACCCTATATAAGAGAGGGTAGAGGCAGTAGAGTTTTTTACACACAGAAATATAGAACACGAAAGTTCAATTTTTAGCCTCAAAACCTCTCTGCTTCTACTCCTTCTTTAGCCTACTGTGTTCATAACCGTGTCTTGCTCGCCGGATTCCTTGTTTGAGTGCTCAAACATTGAATCACTAGCAAGTTTTATCCTGGGAAGCCTAGGCCACAACGCTCTTAGCATCTTTGGGAGGTGGCAAATAAGGTTTTAAGGAAAGAGTGCTCACTTGACTCTTGCAAAAACCCAACACCAAACACTAGCCAATTTTTCTCCATCTTTCCTTCCCTATTTCTTTCCAGAAAAATAATAGTCATATTTTATTTGATTATTATTTGTTTTCCTACCAACACTTCCAACATTCTATGCAAAGGATCAACTAATTATGGTGTTGAATAATATATTTACGGCAATAAATTATTGTTGATAGAGTGTGAGTTGTATTTAAACATTTGTAAACAGCAATAGTGTTTTGCGGTGGGTTATCTCCTCAACAATGAAGGTGCGACCGGAAAGAGGTATGTGCAACCATATTAGAAGTGTGTTATGGGTTTTGTTCTGTCTGTGCAGCAATTATGTTAAGTCTGTGCGTTGTGTATGGAAATGTGTGCAATGGATTCCACGTGTGTGTAAATAGGGCATGCCGAAAGAATTTAATACAAATCACATTATGTTTAGTACGTACCGCGTGAGTTTTGAATTAGAGTGTAATAAAACATTGTGGTTTGATATGATATGTGTTTAGGAAACTAGACGTTGGGTAAACCAACATGGTAGAGCTTTGAATTAGAGTATGCAAGACTATTTTACGCCTGTGCAATTTTGAATATTAGTCTTTGCGAGCGTATTTGTTAACCTGGATAAGTAAGACACAAAATGTAAAGCCATTATATTAGCAACCTATGCATGCTATGTTTATTTAATGTGCAAGTTAGGATTTTATGAAGTGCAACTAAGTGTGTGAGCATTTGCATTTACGAGTTTGAATATTAGTCTTCGTGAGTTATTTAGTTAACCTGAGCAAGTGAGAAACAAAATGTAAAGTCGTTATATTCGCAGCCTATGCATGCTATGTTTTATTAATGTGCAAGCTAGGATTTTATGAAGTGCAACTGAGTGTGTGAGCATGTGTAGTTACGAGTTTGAATATTTCTCTTTGGGAGTTAATTCGATAATCTGTGTATGTAAAACACAAAATGTAATGTCGTTATATTCGCAGCCTGTGCATGATATGTTGTTTAAGTGTGCAAGTTGATGAAAGTAATAACATCCATGCTAGGGTTTTTCAACGTGCAAGTTAGGACTTTAGTTGGGGCAACTGAGTTTGTGAGCATGTGCATGTTACTACTAAGCAAATAGTAATGACTGACATTAAAATTGCTACAAACCAAACACTCCAACACAAACTTGCACCAATTTAGATTTTTGATCTCATCCACATCTTCAAAATGATGAAAAACAAGCTGATTGGCATACCCATTTTTCATCGGGGACCCCAAATTACTAATGGCCAACACAGCAAAGTGACGTTTAAACCAAACATCACCCTCTAAACAAGCGTGGGTCCGCAACATGTCCCCGATCATAGACAACATCACTGTATGCTTCGACATCTCAAATTTGGACCTCCACTCTTTGAGAGTGTCGCTAACATCGTCTTTGTGCCTTTTGGTAATAACAACAGTTCCACAGGGCAACCCCAGAGTGGCATGGATATCCTTCTCTGTGACATGCATTTCTGCACCATTCTCCAAACGCACAGACATGCTAGAAGGATCAAAATTAGCCAACAACCACCTACTCAACCGCTTCGGAAAATCTTCAACCTCAAGATTCAACAATTCCCCCAAACCAATTTGACCCACAGCTTTACGTTGGCACGCACTGAAGTGTTTCAACTGAGACACCAAATGCTTGGGCGATCCACGAGTATTGAGAGACGGAATTACAACCCCTGCATCCTCAACCCCCCCCCCCCCCCCCCAACTCGCACCCCATCCAAAGGCGCCTGTACCTGAGGGGGAGTAGACACCACGATCGGAGGACCCCGGGGAGCCCCAATTTGCACCCCTCCACAAGTTGGGTGACCTTGAGTAGGTAGCGAAACCACAACGGGGGGAACTTGTTGACCCACTTGCAGAACAGTCGAACCAGCACCAGGCGTGGATACAAACACATCAGAATCATCCACTACAATGAAAAGAACGAACCAAAGTTGATGCAACAGACATAAAGAATAACACCAAAAACAAACACACAAAATAAAGCAAGGCACACACAAAATAAATCTGTATGCACACACAAAAAAAATAACTACATACTCCTACCCAACTGCACAGACCGAAATACCAAACTGCACAGACCGAATGACTGTTGACAAATCATCGATAATAATTGGCAACTAATAACGAAAGACTGGCATCAATAATTCGCAGAAAATGATTTGCAAATAACAAGAATAAAAATAGTAATAATAAAAAAATTAATAATAATAAGTAGAAAACTAATAATAATATAAACTCCAATCGCACAGGCCATAACAATGACAAGCACACCATAAATATAGAAAATAACAACACACCAACATTTATTGGAGTTTAGATTGGGCAGACAGGTAAACAAAAATCATGTCATGGTTCCTACTAGTAAATAGAGTTTAGATTGACGATTTTACTAAGTTTGACTGTTTAATAGAAACTTTTTAAAGTTTGGAGTCTAATTACTATTTTGTCAAAAGTTAGAAGGACCATTTGACCATTTTTGTTAAAAAGATATATATTGTTAATATTTTATAGTCGAGTAATGATATAAATTCGTAAAATTTTAAATGTATTAAGAATATGACAAATAATATCATTATTGTAAAATTGTATTATTTGGTCAAATATTTTGATAGCAACAACGTTGACCAAATCACAAATGCCACAACGGCACAAAGTAATGCTATTTCAAAATTTGATAAACATCCACAACAAGGAAAAAGAGAGGTAATAGAAGATGAAGAAATTCCTTCATTAAAAACACATATCCTAACCCGAAGAATTAAAAATCCTTCATTATAACCCCCAATCGCACCGGCCATAACAACAAAATGCACGGACAACAAACTTAACTAAGAACCCAACGCACAAGCCCAAAAACTAAAACGAACAAACGCCAGACCTACTAGAATCCAGTGGAAATTTTAAACCTAAAAAAAAAAAAAAAAAAAACCACCCCTTATAAACCCTAATCGAACAGACCATAACAACAAAAAGTACCAAATAGATATATAAAATAACAACACACCAACAGTTAATAGGCCATAACATATTACAATTAAAATTCACATACCAAAATAGCTTTACGTAAAAAACCAAAAACCAAGCTATAAAAATATGGTAAAAGATTGCATCAATTCTAATTGACAGTCCAAATAAGAGATATTTGGCCTGAAAACTTGTCAACCTATTTGTGACTCAACGCACAAGCCGAAGACATAAAACGCACACAGAAAAACTTCATAACACAACGCAAACTTCTGTTCATTAATTTTTAAATTGAATAACGGTATCAACATGCAACAAAAACCATGACCAAACCGCTGATTGATGATACCCGTCATAACAAAGAATTTAAGCCAAACGCACACACGGGAAAACAAATTGCACACATAGCATAACAAAGAATTGAAGCCAAACGCACACACGGGAAAACAAATTGCACACACACAGCCACATCAGTCCTAAAATGCTTACCAATACGAAACCAAAAACAAAACATCCATAAAAACACAAAAATGATACCAAACCACAGTAATATATTTACAAATAACAAAAAAAAAAATTACAATAACAATACTAAAAATAATAATTATAATTATAAAACAAATAAAAAGATAAACCAACCAAAAACACAACATCCATAAAATCACAAAAATTATACCAACCACAGTAATATATTTACAAATAACAATAAAAAAAATTATAACAATTATAATAACAATACTAAAAATAATAATTATAATTATAAAAGAAATAACAAGATAACCACAATTGCACAAGCCATAACAACGCAAAGCACACCATAAATATATAAAATAACAACACACCCACATTTACAATTAAAATTCACCAAGCAAAATAGCTTTACGTTTAAAAAAAATATATCTATAAAAACCTTTATAACACAAAGCAAACATGTTTTCTTAAATTTTGAAATTTGAAGGAATCAAATTGTGACCAAACCCATGAATAACAACCGTAACTTAGAGCCTAATGCACAAGCCGAAACCCTAACACGCACACTCATCCCCCCCCCCCCACCCCCCCCCCCCCGCCCCTGAACAACACTTGACCGGCGCAACCCACACCATACCCCCGACTACGAACGCTGCAGCCCGCGAAAAAAAAAAAAACCAACAACCAGCCCGCCCCAATCACTAACACCACCCCCACCGGACATCAACACAAAGCATCCCAGACCCCCTGCCCACAAAACCCCCCAAACGCACTCTGCCATGCAGTTTAGTCCAAAACAAATATACAGTAGAAAAAAATGCGAAAAAAGCGCGACTAAAAACCCTAACAAACGGAAACAACCCACCCCCAACAAACACCATACATATCGGCGCAGAAACACAAAGCTAAACCCCCCTCGCCGGACACCAAAAATCCCACACCCCACATGCAACAATATCCCACGAACCATATACACAAAAAACGTCGACCTCAAAGTGAATGCAGACGGGATACCTGGAATCCGTGCGAAAAACCCCTGCCTCTGTCGCTTGGACCGCCGCGATGAAGAGCCTGCCATGAAGACCCCCGGAGACCGAGTCGGAAAAGAGCACTCTGTCAACCGCACGGGAAAGGAGAAGACACGCCACTCCAACAACCTTTCGGAGAGGTTCCGGACGGATGAGAATGGAAGAAAGCGAAGAGTCGATAGTGGGA